TTCTAAAGAGAAAAATCATTCAAATTATAATAGATTACAAGAAAACAGCAGTTAGTTAGAAGAAGTCAACATTAAGAATCTGCGCAGAGGCTGAAAAAGAGACAAGGCAGCATATAGATCTGGAGAGGCCATCAGTATCCAAAAATGCCCACCCATTTAGAGGGCAAAATGGAGTTTAGACAACAAATTATGTTGTCTATAATACTGCCACAACCATTATAGAATACTAGGAAACTGGGCACAAAATCAGAATGTTTTTTTTATCCCTCAGTCAAGTTTACCAGTTGAGAAATGTGTTCAAATAAGCAATCGCAATTTACTTTTCTATTACTTCTCTTTTTATATAAAACATAATAACCAAGCATCATGAGCCATTGGTATGTCATTCAAAATGAAAGAATCGAACTTGACAACTGACCTCAGAGAAAGTAGATGAGTCTTGCCACAAATCAGAATTTTAAATGAATTTTAATTAATATAAAGTATAATCATGAAACTATTATGACCAATTAAGTTAATAATAAGATACCATGAAATAAGATCAAATAGATAACAAAAATATTTTGGATATACATCCTAGAGCAAAACTATTATAGCAGCACAAAACTTTCCAAAGGCTGAAAAATCCAAGCATTTTATAATCCCCTTTAGACACAAAAAAATTATCCAGAGAACCTCTGGAAGGAAAAGTGGAATTGTTAACTCAATTTACTGCTGCTTAATTGTCAAATAAATGAGACCATTATTGAAGTAGACAACTGAAGAATGCTTTTGGGGTAAAAGTATCCTTTTCTCTGGACACCTCAAAAGAGCCTCTGGGCACTTGGAACTGAATTTTGTTTTAATGTGAACAAAATGGATTCCATCAACCACACCTATGCCCCTATCAGCACACTGTCTCATCTGTGATGATGAGATGCTGAGTGATATGGAGGGCATACCTAAGACTAACCTATTGATTTTTATGTGTGACTAACCTATTGATTTTTATTTTTATGATGGACCATTGTGCTACTGAGGAGAAAGTGTGGGAAGTACTGAATAGTGCATATTTAAATTTTTATATTCTTTTCAGGGAGCCCAAGAAATTTATCACCACATGCTTAGTGAAGGAAGGTGCCTGCAGTGCCAGCAGATGATGTCTGTTGGTGATTTTGCCAAAAAAAAAAGATAGGATTCTTATGGTGTCTAAATGCTCATGCTGAACCCAGAAAGAAGAAAACTGAAATTTCTATGCTAGATTTTTGGCTAAGATTAATAACTCTATTATTTGCTATTTTACATCAATATAAGGAAGCTTTGAAACATAGAAAGAGCTGAGCCAACATTGCAGATAGGGCTAGCTCCACTGCCATGTCCAATGCAAGTTTCAATGCCTTATTTCACAGCCTCTTTCATCTTTAGTAAATACTGAGGCCGACTCTTTGTTTCTAAAGGAGACTGTTCCAAGCAGCAATGAGTTGGGGTGGGGATGACATGAAGAAATAGCTTAATGCATCTTGGTTTTCCTGCTCTACATGGGTAACTTCAGGATTTTTCATGGGGGGAATTATTCAAATGTTGTAATTAGTCTCAGTATCTAAATTTATGAATCACATTGGTCACAAATTTATTGCATTTGTCAAAAGTAACAACAGTTTTCCTACTAATTGGCACCTAAATTGTTTTCAATTTATTAATATAATTTCTAGAAATGAAATCAATGATTTAGAGATGAATTACAGTTATTTGTGCACATTTCTGAACAGGAAGATAGACTAAAAGGAATGTGAGGTTAGATAGGAAATACCATCTAGAGACCATTTTCCATAGTGTATGAAAGAAATCATGGAGACATGAGGTTTTATTTGAGGGAGGGGGGTCCAGTCCTGGGCCCTGAACTCTGGGCCTGGGCACTGTCCCTCAGCTCTTCAGCTCAAGGCTAGCGTTCTACCACTTGAGCCACAGCACCACTTCTGGCTTTTTTCTTTTTGCATATGTGGTGCTGAGGAATCGAACCCCGGGTCTCATGCATGCCAGTCAAGCGCTCTATCACTGAGCCACCTTCCCTGCCCAGAAACAGGAGGTTTTTAATTGTACTGCTTGAGGATTTTTTCTTTTATCTTTGGTTTATTCCCTTTTGTTGCTGTTTTGGTTTTTTTTTAATTCCTGTACCCTTTGTCGTGTATATAAGTTTATCTGATTTGGGAAGCAGAAGGGAAAGCCCAGAAATGGTGAGACAAAGGATGAATCAGTTTAGCAGTGATACTTACTAGTCATTTACTAGAAATGAAGTATAAAATGGGGGAGGGGAAGGGGAAAAAACAGAGAAAATGAGGTAGGGGGAATGATGTTCAAAAAGAAATATACTAATTACCTGACTTATGTAACTGTGACCCCTCTGTACATAGCCTTTGAAATCTGATTCCAGTGCCCTGCATCTTGTATATACATTTTCCTAATTTGTGGAGGGGAAGGTCAATAACAAAATGCTGAAACAAGGGTACAAGTTGACCCATTGTAACAATGAAATATACAAGACACTATGTTGAAAATGAACTTTACAACTTGTTGTGGGGGAAGGAGTTGGGGAGATGAGGAGGGAAGGGATAGTAGTGGAAAAACAAAGGAGATGGTAACAATGCTCGATAGGAAATGTACTCATTACCTTGTTCATGTAACTGTAACTCCTCTGTACAGTATTTTTACAATAATATATATAAATAAAAAAATTTTTAAAGGAAGAAAGAAATCATGTAAAAACCAAATCTGGAGACCCAAAGTCAGTTTGGTCAACAGGATTCTGAATCCAGAGTTCATTATAATGTTAACAATGTCTCAGGAAGAGAACAGGAAGGAAAACTGGTAGAACACACAAGACAAACTAGAGAAGTAGAATTATATATCGGAATCTTCCAATCAGTAGTACCAGCTAACCAGAAGGGCCATGTCAAATGGGAGGTCCATAAGATGAAAGAACAGACTTTCAAAAAACCCAGTCTACCTTGGAATTCCACTATTGATGGTCTTCTTCATTCATTTTATTTGAAGATTGAGGCATCCCAGGCTGCTCACTTACTTGTACATATCGTTAAAACTGGAAAGAACTTTCTACTACTTTCCTAGTAATTTTATTTTCTATTCAACCAACCTACTTTTTCTAGGACTTATTAAAGAGAACAGATACTTTTAAGTGTCAGACATCTATCAGGTTGCAAATTTCTATATTCAATGCATTTTGGAATTCATACTCAACTTGGAACAAAAACAGTCCTTAACCAACCCTAAAGGTTTAGGGAAGCTGCTCCATCTCATGATGTCTATGACACAAATATTTTGTGCTCATCTGTCATCAAATTATTTCATAAAAATTTAAACTTAGTTCCTTTAATTAAGAAACAATATTTTGGGGCTGGGAAGGTGGTTCAGTGATAGAGTGCTTGCCTTGCATGCATGAGTCCCTGGGTTCGATTCCTCAGCATCACATAGCAGAAAAACTCAGAAATGGTGCTGTGGCTAAAGTGGTAGAGTGCTAACCTTGAGCTGAAAAGCTGAGGGAGAGTGCTCAGGTCCAGAGTAAAGGCTCTGTGACCAACAACAACAAAAAGAAACAATATTTAAGACTCAAATTGCCATGTTTTATTGATTCTAAAGTTTCATATTTATAGCAATTACATATGTCTGTAGAATATACTTTTGATTACAATAGCAATATCTTTTAGTTTTTTTCTGCCATTTCACTGTTGATTTATAGGGGTACACCATACCAAAATGACTCAGAAATTGCAATTTAGTGATTTTTGCAAGTAAACTTCAATAACAAAACTGCTGTTGAGGATAGTTTATATTGGATTTTTATTTCATTTCTTCCCTTCAAATATCCTTAGTTTGCATTTGTGAAAAACATTACTTCTACATATTTAACTAAATATTTTACATCCAAAAGTTATCTACAATACATGTCATACTAACACATTTCTATTTTATTTTTACATTATAATTAAAATTATATTTAAATTAGTGATAACAAAATTATAATTAAACTAAATATAACATATTGAATTGAAATATGTTAAGTTGAAATATGACATGTTTAAAAAGAAATATAAAAACATGTGAATAGCTTTAGAAAGCTGTGATTATATTTTTAATGTATAATCAATCATTTTCCAGTCTAATTCAGACTCATCACCTGGGAACTCAATCAGAACACTTTTTATGCTTCTGAAATATCTTGAAGTCAAAAGTTACTGCAATGCAATTACAACTCTGAGCCTGTTAGAATCTAAGTCTTTGGCTGTCATTGAAGTTAGGGAATTCTTTTAGTAAGCATTGAATAAGAAATTTTCTTATGCATTTTATATCTATTCCTCTATCAAAATTGAAAGGCATAATCAAGACTAGAGAGTACACTTTAATATTTCTTAGCAGAAAACGAAAATAGAGATGCTTTCCTTTCCTTAAGGTAAGCTCGGGACACTTGATTTTTCCCATTAATTTATAACAGAATCTTTATCAATCATCACTTACAACCTCATACAGGTGACAGAGTTATCTTCTCAAGGATATTACATTTACAAGTTAATGATCATGAAAATATATTTTTGAAGGCTAACATTAAGTTTTCATCTAAGTGTAAAGTTATTTTAATCCAATAAAATATAAACAAAATATATAAAGTGGTCTGAAGAAAAGTATATATTACACAAAATATTTTGTATCAGATTATACTTAGTAAAACAAATATGGACAGATGGATGTCTGGTTGAAAATGTTATGAAATTTCATAGAAATTATTGTATTAAACTAATGTAAGCAATTTTAAATATTATGCTTAAAAATCATGTCTGTTGATTTTGGTAGGCCGGGGGCAGTGGGTTCCAAAATTAGCACATGTGCTTAAAATAGATGTAACATGGGAAGACAAGCCCTACAACTTTCTCCCTGTGTTCTAGGATGGGAAGGGTCAAACCAGACAGGAACTTAATGCGCTGGTTCCCAGAGATAGGAGAACCAATCAGAAAGGCCTTTAGCAGTATGCAACCACATCTTAACAAATCAAACCAAAGAGATATTCCACAAAAGTGACCATAATAGAGACCAAATATCTTGAGGGACGAAGAATTTTTTTGTTACTTTCTTTTATGGCTTTCCTTTCACTTTCAAATAAGCTTTGCATTGTTCAAAAAACAAATGGCAAGCACTAATCAAGAAAAAGTGACCTTTAAAAATGAGTATAGTGTACCTCGAAAAAACACTTCCTCATTAAAAAAAAATCTTACAAAATACATCTTAAACAAAACGAAGAAAAAAAACTATGAATACTGGCATGTTTATAGGAAAATATTTTCAACACTAGAAACAGAAATGTATTTTTGTATATTGATAATTTTTAAATAAATTTTTAGATAACACAATCTAAACAAAAAGGTTTAGTGGAGACTAGGTGGCTCTAGTCAGGAGTGCTTTCAATTTCTGATTCCATCTTGCATGCTCTGGAAAGAAAAACATCTCATTTGTATTAATGTGTAAGGAAACTCTGAACCCTTTCAGGTCATTAGATTCCCTTTAAAGAATTAATCCCTCCATGCATGAAACAAAACTCAAGTGACTTGGAAAGATAGGCTCTTCCAAAGTAATTTTCTGTCACTTTAGTCCTCCAAATCTACACATTTATGAAAAAGTATGGACTATAATTCACTGCAGACAATTATTAAGTGTGAAACATTTATTTCACACATAAATCCTACACCTACAAGGAGCATCATTTGCTCGTTGCTATTACATTTTAGAAAATTGTATCATAGAAGTAACTGCTGTTAATTTAGATTTATGAAGAAAATACTAAACTTATGTACTTAATATATTTTGTTCCAAAAGTTATCCACATATCATAGTATAATGTAGAGAACCAAAATAGAGATATGTTCTTTTGGTGATATACATTAAGAACAATACACCACATAGACAAGAAGAATGAACATTGGGATTGGATTGGTGTCACAAATCTCACTAATGAACCTTCAAAATAAGTTTATATTAATTTATAAATTCAAAAGTGATAGCAATTAAATCATACAGAAAGATAACATATATTAAAATAATTATGGAACTATTTTAAAAACTCATACTACTTTAGGTAGCTCAGTGGTAGAGTGCTTGCCTCGCATGTTTGATGCCCTGGATTCGATTCCTCAGCACCACATAAACAGAAAAAGCCTGAAGTGGGACTGTAGCTCAAGTGTTAGAGCACTAGCCTTGAGCTGAAGAGCTGAGGAACAGTGCCCAGGCCCAGAGTTCAGGCCCCACGACCGACAAACAAAACAAAACAAAAAAATTACAAAGTATTATAGAGTTTATATTGTAAACTAGCAGTATACCAAAACAAAAGGATATATACATATGCATATGTATGTATGTACATGTATATATGTGTGTATATATATAGATATATATACATATACATAGGTATGTCTAGATAGATAGATGATAGATATGTATATCCATTTGTTATGGTATACTACTAATTTACAATCTAACAATGCATGTGTGTGTGTGTATAATTACTATAGCCACTTTCATATATTTAACTCATTTAAAGTACAATTAATGATGAGAACAAAGAAACAGCTTTTGCTGGCAGAACTCATTGCCCTAGACCCACTAATTATCATTTTATTTGTCACCTCAACTGAATTTGGATTCCAGTTTCAAGCCTGATGACATCCTGGACATAAAATTCAGCCACAGCCTCATCTCCTCATCAACTGCACATTTCTCTGCTTATCTCCATGAAACCTTGCAACTTGTACCAGCCAAGGCTCTCTTTCCTAGCCAAGGTCAAGAAGGTCACAGTCCTTCTTTAATAAAACCTGCCTATTGTTGAGATCACTCCTACCTCTGACTCTCATTGCTCACTCAAATCTTAAGCACTTTTCTTACAGATAACTGTTTGTTTTGCTATAGATTATGAGTGATATAGAAATATGCATGCATATAATCTTGTCCCTTAAATTCTTTCTAATAGTAATAAATTTAATTTAAATAGTAATAAATTTAAGTAATAAACTTTCATTAATATGTTTTATGATATCAGGGCCTCAAACAGGATGATTTTTTTTTTTTTTTGGTCAGTCGTGGGGCTTAAACTCTGGGTTTGTGTGCTATCCCTGCGCTCTTCAGCTTAAGGCCAGAGCTCTACCTCTTGAGCCACAGCACCACTTCCAATTTTCTAGTGGTTAATTGGAGATAAGAGTCTCACGGACTTTTCTGCCCGGGCTGGCTTTGAACCATAATCCTCAGATCTCAGCATCCTCAGTAGCTAAGATTACAGGCATAAGCCACCTGCGCCCGGCAGGATATTATTCTTACAGTTTGGTTACACAAGACCAGATATATCTATATATGTGTGCCTATATGTGTGTATGTATGTATATATTGCACATATACATGTACATATATAAATTTTATAAACATACACACATATAGGCACACACGAAAATGTGGAAGTCTATGAGGAATTCAATGACTACTCTGACATAATAAATTACAAATTCTGCTTCAATTCAAACATTTAGAATTTATGAGGAAATAATATTTCAAACAATAAATTAACATAGGATACTCATAAAATACTCATAAATGATACAATCACATGTCCATTTATTTGTAATCATCAGGCAAACAATTGTTCAGTAACTATTTAGAAACTTTCAAGCTTGTGTATATATCTATAAAATGAAAGTCATTCTGAGAAACACAACATTCAATTCTTTAAGTAATTGAAAAAAAGTTCTGCCTCATAAGTGTTTTTGTAATAAAAAAAATCATGTAATGGTTAACCCCTAAGTTTTATTAAGACCCTAAAAGTAAGATACAAGAGTAAATAAAAGCATTGTTAAAATTCAAATTTAAACATTTGATCAAAATTAACACATAGTAAAGAGTACATAGGAAAAAATTTCAAATTTTAGGAAGTAAATGTTTTCCACCAACAATTCTTTATAAAAGTCATTCTGATCATATATGATCTGTGCTATAAAAGTCATGCTATAAGTTTTGTGCTAAATTTAGACAATAATAAATTGTGCAAAGAAGAAAGATGAGGGTTAAAATATTAATTTCCCCTGCAAAACTACTCTTTCAGATATTTAATGAATAAAGAAAAATTTTATACGTTTGTGATCATTTTTATATAAATAATTTGTATATGCTATATAACTTTCCCAAAATTATTATATATTTACATATGTTATATATTTACTATATCCCATATATTAAAATATATTATAAATAATTATATCCTATATATCAGCTGATATGTATCACATATAATGTATATGTTATTAATATATAAATTATATCTATATGATGCTCCACTCTACAAAAGTAGGCTTTAAAATAAAAACGAATAAGATAGCTAAACAAATGTCATTTATGAAAACAGAAGATATTAACATTTATCAAAATATGCTGCCTACATTTATAATTGAGACAGATGATCACATGCCAATACACTTACTGTCTTCAATTAATGAAAAAATTCTAAGGAAAGGTATAAACAAGAAAATAAATATGCCTAATGTAGCATGATTTTTCTGAAAACTTCTCATATAGATTTGTTTTTTATTAGTCCAGATACTGTCCAATTAAATATTAATGCAAAAGTTGAAACACAACCACAAGTTCTGAAGCTGTTGCAATAAAAGAAAATTGGTAATGTAAATGAATCAAGACTTGCTAGAAGTTAGAGGTTGCATTACAAGGTATGTGTAAATCAAAGCGAGAAGAGCAGACTGAGCACTGGTAGTTGAAGTCAGTAATTAAGCAGGAAATTAAGAACTGAGGATGGAGGTTCGAAGTTAACCCATGCAGAAATATCCCGTCTTGGGGCTTGAACTCAAAGGCCTGGGCACTGTCCCTGTGCTCTTTTGCTCAAGGCTAGTGGTGTACCATGGTGAGCCACAAGGCCAATTCCAGTTTTCTGGTGCTTAATTGGAGATAAGAGTCTCATAGATTTTCCTGAAGGGGCTGGTGTCGAACTGTGATTCTCAGACCACAGCCTCCGGTGTAGCTAGGATTACAGGTATGAGCCACCAGCGTACAGCTCGATAAGACATGTATCTCCCTTTAAACAGCAATAGGGCAGGAAGTAGGGCGATGGTTCAAATGATAGAACATTAGAGTTCAACAAAATAACTGTAAAACAGAATCCAGGCCCTGACTTGAAGCCCCAGGACAGATAGATAGACAGACACACACACACACACAGACACACACACACACATAAGACAAAAGAGCAAAAATGGGGATTCCTATGAATACAAGCTGAGGAAAGGAACACGATAGACTGAAGGATCAAGGAGCATTCCAGTGCTTGGAGGAAGAGCAATTCATTCTCGAACTAAAGAACATCAGAGGAATTCTCCAACCACAAGAGCCCCAACTCGGCGCCTAAGGAATTCAGGAGCATGCGCAGAGCATATGTGCTCTCGTAGTCAGCCATGGGTGACCCTGGGCAGGATCCCCGGATGTTGGCTGGGCGTGGGGAGCTGCCGCGGCAGCAAGCAAGCAGCAAGAGACTCCCTGTGAGGCTCTGACTTGCACCTTGTGAATTCCCACCAGAGCACAGCAGGAGCCGCCGCAGGTGCGGCCCAATGCTAAGATAAGGCTGTAATGAGGACGGAGGGGCCTCGGGGTGCGGAGGGGGTCTGAGGACACAGAGGGGGCCTCGGGGTCCAACATGGAGCAAGGCCGCAAATGAACATGGCGCCGGTGCCGCGTGTCGGGCCGCGGGTGTGGGGCTGGGAGGTTGTGGCCGCGCTACCTCCCGGGGCCGGGCCGGGGCTGCTTTGTGGCGGAGGCAGAGGCTTTGTGTGGGGGGGGGAGACATGCCCAGACCGAATCTTCCTCAGGAAAACGTCCCCTGAAGAGTATGGCGAAGTTCTCCAGCGGCCTAAATATGGTGGATCCGCCCTCGCCTCTGAGGAGCCGCGGGGGGGGGGGGGGGGGGGGGGCGGGGGGGGGGAGGGGGGGGGCGGGGGGGGGGGAGGGGGGGGGAAGCGGAGGCAGTGGGGTGGGGGGGGGGGCCCAGATTGGGTGAAGCAGCCTTGTGGAAATGGGGAATGGGAAAAGACAACGTTCCATGAAGAAATACTGGCAAGTTCCCCAGGATAAATATGGTGGATCAGCCTCATCTTTGGGGTGGGGGGCAGGGGCAGCGGTGGCTGAGGCATGGAAAGGGAGCATCAGATTAGGGGGTGGTAGCAGGGCAGTAATGAGGAATGGGTGAAGAAAATGTCCCATAACTATGTACATACAACGATATAAGATCATGCTAAGTGAAATGAACTCCATAAGAAATTTTTCTTTGTTGTTGTTGTTGTCAGTGTTAATGTACTATATGATATTTGGTTTCCTTTATATGTTCTTTCCCCTATGGTATATCCCCTATTGTCACTGTTAGGTTTTTAAAAAGAGGTCGCCAAGTAAGAACAGCACCACCCACGTGGTATTCAGGTAAGGGGTAGGTTTATTCATCCTTCTGGCTGGCACCAGGCCATCTTGGTCCTCCACGTGGTGGAGAAAGGCCTGGGAAAAAGAGCTTGGAGAGCTGGAAAAGAGAGAGAGTTGGGAAAGAGGGAGAAAAGAGCTAGAAAAGAGAGCATCTGGGAAAGGTGGGAAAGAGAGAGCTAGGATGAGAAGGGAGCTGGGAAAGAGAAGAGAAGGAAAGAGCTGAGAAAGAGCTAGAAAAGAGCAGAGAGAGAGTGAGTATCTGGGCCTGGGCTAGGCCTTATCTAGGGTATGGGTGGAGAAAGGTTTGGCCATATTCAGGTGTGACCTCTTCCAGGTGTCCCAGTTGCCTAGGTAAAGCAGGTACTGGGTGGAGACTTTGCTGCGAGGAGGGTGGAGTCTGCTAGCCATCCAGGAGCGGACATTACATTCCAGCCTTTTAATAATCATGAAATAGGGTGTGGATTCTCTCTGGCTACTTCCTGCTGACCAGGGGCATGGACAATAGGGGTAAAAGGCTGGAATTTGGTCCCCTCCCAGAGAAGGAAGGGAGCAGTAGCTGTCCCTTGGTCGCATGAGTCCTTAGATGAAGTCTGGAGAAGTCTCATGAGCATTGGGGGGCTGGAAAAAAAAATACT